CATTTCAACAAAGAGAGCTATACCTATACTAGCAATTTCGTGTGGTTGGATCAAATTTACCACTAATATTTCAATGGACTTAATTCTACTAAATCTATTATATTTATGTGTTAATGAGATGATAACTTCTTAAAACCCCATTCACTGATCACAAATCTATTTTATTTTTAAATCTTAGTTGTATACAATAATTATAAAGCTCTAATATATTCATTTTTCTCTTTTTTTGGAATTTTTATTTAAATTAATAAAAAGGTTTTCTTTATTTATTTTTCACCAACATAATATACTAGCTTAATCAAAAGCCCAAACCTAGAGTTGAGGGTTTTAAAGTTGTCCTGGCCGCATGATCTTTGTTGATTGTTGATGTATCCTTTGAGCTAAAGTCTTCAAGTCTTAATCCTTTGTTTCAAATAAAGAATGAAGAACTGCTCCATGTTGATGCCAATTACCAACAAGGAATTGCCAAAAACCCTAGTGATGGAAATCCTTTTGATGCTTCCTGTTAAATCCTTAATGAAATTCAAGTGTGTTTCCAAATCCTGGTGTTCTTCTTTTCAAACCTCCTATTTTATCACCAACCATAAAAACAACAACCTCAATCTCCTTGTCTGGTATTTTGACGAAGTCCCTTACTACTCTTTGTTTTCAATTGAAACAAAAATTAAGAAACATGGTGGATCCGAGGAGTTAAAGAGAATATCTATATGCCCATGGGATAACTGAGTTCCGTCCATGTAACGACTTGATTTGTTTGCACGATAGTTATAGGATTACCCTTCAAAATCCTTCCATGAATCCACATCTCACACTTTGTTTAAAATTTTGACAATACTAAGCCACAACTTGGTCATTTGGTGATCATTACAGAGGGCAATGTAATTCATAATGAAATTTGCACATTTCAACGTAAATATTTATAATTATTAAAATATAAATATTTATAATTTTTAAGTATATTTGTTTTGAATAGTAATTTGTGATTAAATAATACTATATTAATAAATATTACATATGGACGATACATTAAATATAAATTTATATAATATTATATTAAAAATTAATCAATAATTTAGCATACTTCTTTTTTTTACGAAATTTATTTAAATTAATAAACAAAATTATTTTTCTATTTAGTGCTAACCTTGTTTGACTCAAACACTATGTATTGTTTTCTTGTTGTAATTTTCTTTAACACAAACACTTATTATTAATTTTATTATTAAATTGAATATTTAAGTGTAAATACAATACCTTCCATTATTTTATATTTTTCTATTAAATTCAATATTTTTCAAAATGAAGAGAAAAATCCAACCGAGGAACCATCTCTTTCAACCGTTTAGACTAAGGTTTCTGTGAGATAACCACATAAACATAGGTCTCTCCTAGCAGTCTCCTATTTTTGTTAGATTTCCTTTGCTAAAAGTTGAATTTCTTATGCAATATGATTGAAATAGTACTTTATGCTTTGAATTTCAATTTCTTTTTTTTTTATGAAAAATGGAATATATGCTTAATTACGTACCTATATATCCAAGTTTATTTAGATTATTTACAATTATATTTTTCTTACAATTATATTTCTCTTTTTTTGTTTAGAAAATAATATAGTGAATGTTACTCTCTGCTTTTTTCATTTTTGTTTAGTTTGAAATTTTCTAGAGAAGATATCCCAATCCTCCAATCACTATATAAACGTATTAATAGTAAGAATACTGATACGGCTTGTCCAAAATTAATAAACTGATATATGAATCCATTTAATTTTATTTTTAATTAATATATGTATTATTGAGATGATATCAACAAGAAAAGATATTTGATAATCTGAAAAGTGAGCTAAATATATTTTTTTCTCTTAAACTTCAAAAAAAATTATTTTTTTGTTTAATTTAATCTCTAAGTTTTATTCAATTTAGGCATTCTAAATTTTTATTACTATAATTTTAATGTTGAAACAAGTATGATAGTATTGTTGAGAAATAGTTAATAGAATATTCAGTTGGAAGTTGTTTGATAATTTAAAAAAAAATTAAGAAAAATCTCTAATCCCACGTGTCCTGAAGCGATAATATTCCCTTCCATTTTAATTTTGTTGAGCCAATCAAGAGATTAATAATAAATTTAAACTGCCTACATATTAAAATAATAAATTTAGACCTTATTTTCCAATACTATTTCCAATATATATATAATTTTAATTTAATTGCTTCCTCGAAGAAGTAACATTTTGAAGTAAATGAGACGGAATTTGAAGTTTCCTAGTGGTATAAAGCTAAACTAAATCAAGTGATAATGAAAAACAGTTAACTTAATGTATAATTTCGCACATTCAAACCACCAAAGCAGATTGCTATTCCCAAAAGTGCCAGCAAATTAAATTTGATTAATAAGGGTATATTATTTACTTTTGATTTGAATATTTAATTTAGTGATAAATATTTTTTATATTTAAAATATATAATATTAAAATTTTTTATTTTTGAAACTAAAGAGAATAAAAATTATGACCAATTACGAAGAATCAAGATTTGCCTCTGAGTTCATCCGAGACAATGTTTTCTTAAAACCCCATTCGCCGATCACAAATATATTTTATTTTTAAATTTAGGAATTAAAACCTCTCATTTATCACATTCTATTCAATTTTTGTTGTATAAAATATTTATAAAGCTCTTACATATTCATGAAATTTATTTAAATTAATAAAAATATATTTTTCTATTTATTTATTTACCAACCTAATGATTATGCAAAGTAGTAGTAACTTTGTTAGACACAAACACTTATTAAATTGAGTATTTAAATTTAAATACAATTCCATGAATAAACTTTGTTAGGCATATCTTTGCTGGTCGTTGACGTATTCTTTGAGTTGCTGCAGACGCAGAGATCTTGCCTTTGAAGTCTTAATCCTTTGTTTCAGATAAGAATTGCTCCATGTCGGTGCCCATGATTGACAAGGAATTGCCGGAAATACTGGTGATGGAAATTCTTTTGAGGCTTCCTGTTAAATCCCTGGTAAGATTCAAGTGCATTTGCAAGTCCTGGTGCTCTTCTTTTCAAACCGCCTATTTTATCACCAACTATAAAAACAACAACCTCAATCTCCTCTTGAAGGATTTTAAAGTCTCTAACTTCTCCTTGCTTTCAACTGAAAGAGAAATTAAGAAACATGGTGGACCTGATGTTGAGTTTAATCTGAAAGTCAAAGAAAATATCCATTTGCCTGTCTCTGTCTATAGAAGTAGTAGGTCACGACTCACAGTGTCCGGAGTATGTAATGGCTTGCTTTGTTTGCACGATGGTTATAGGATTACCCTTTGGAATCCTTGCACGAGAGAAGTTAAGCTTCTTCCTGAATCAACTATCTCACTTCCTCCTTCCGTAGATAGTACTTATTTTCATTGCATGGGGTTCGGGTTTGATCATAAGTCAAATGACTACAAGGTTTTAGTGAATGTTATTAATCGTGTCCACGATGAAGAGAGAATTATCTCGTTCAAATATATAAATCAAATTCATTTATACAGCCTAAGTACAGATTCTTGGAGAGAAATTCCTCATCCTAAGGTCCTATTTTATGGTCTTCATCATCTGTTTATCACTTACATAAACGGAATTTGCCATTACATAAATGGAATTTGCCATTGGCTAGCGTTTGGTGATAGTGGTGATCTGATCCTTTCTTTCGACATGGCTGAAGAAGTTTTCTCGACATCACGCCTGCCGAATTTCGGTATGTCTAAGGCCGAGTGTTTTTGGTATATTTCTTCCTTCAATGAAGCTCTTGCTCTGATTGTTCATCCAATAAGAGGCATGGAAAAATGCTATGACATATGGGTCTTGAATGGACATTTATGGACCAAACAACTTACAATTGGGCCTATTCTTAGAGTTGGGAGGCCATTGGGATTTTGGAAGAACGCAGAATTGTTTCTTAAAAGTGAAAACAATACACTATCTATGTTTAATCCCCGCACAGGAGAGCTTCAAGATTTTGGAATCCACATCCCTAAGTACAAAACGCAGCTACTTGTTTATGCTGAAAGCATTGTTTCAATTAGGGGAAGTTCAGAATATATGGCAAATATAACTCGTGAAGTGGAGTTGCAAGTGTAGAATTTAGTTTGCAATGCTTCAATAATATTGTAATGCAAAAAAGAAGCATGGAAGTGAGTAGTATTCAATGTGTTATTGTATTTATTAAATGCTGCTGATTTCGGTAGAAAAATCAAAATATGATTCCTTTGGCACTAGAATTTTTGAATCCATTGCATCATTGTGCTCTGCCATGTATTATTAACTAAAATTTAATTACATCATATATATATATGTATGTAGTTTACTGGCAAAATCTATAGAAGGGGAGAAGTTAAACTTTAAATCCCAAAACTTATAACCTGACAACTTCAGCTTCACATTGCAGAACACCGGCTTCACATCATTGCGTTCAAGACAAATTAGTTTACCAAGTCTCTTTAGTTTTTTCCTGATATAGTTAGGTGTCTCACATTAATTAATGCTGTAGATATGATGTAGCACTAGAAGATTCGCCAGGCAATAGGGCAATGTGTTTATCTTGTTGCTTCTAAGGTATAGCACTGCCACAACTATTTTATTGTGGTAATGGCCCATCAAAATCATTAACTTTAAGGTTAATACTCTTGAGTTATGGCTAGGTGTCTCACATTAATACTGTAAATTATTCAGATGAACTTTCAGGGAATTTTTGCTTTAATCATGGCCATAGCATAGAAGGAAGTTTTTTAGCAGACTAAGAGAAGAGATTTCTACTTATTAGCATCAGTGCATGCCATTTATTTTTCCTGGTATAAAACAAGCAAGTTTTATTTTTTTTAAAAAATGTTTATTATCATTTAAAGTTTGACAATACTGTGCCACAAAGAGCAATGTAATTCAGAAAGAAATTTGCACATTTCAACAAAGAGAGCTATACCTATATTAGCAATTCCGTGATGATTTCGTTTAGTTATTACTGTGGTTGGATCAAATTTACCACTAATATTTCAATTGACTTAATTTTATTATTATATTTTTAATATTTTTTTATAATTAGAGAAAAAAGGATTCGAACCTTACTCTTTAGACTATGCATTAATCAATGAAACAAATATTCAAGTACACTGTACTTTTAATTTTGAAACAAGTTTTCCTTGCATCTCTGATTCATCTTTCTCATATTTCTATGATGTTTTCGTTCAGTAATTACCATGGTTGGATTACATTTACCTCTAATATTTCAATTGAATTTGATTGTTGAGAAATAGTTAATAAAAAATGGGTCAAACATCAAACTTTAGAACAAAAGAAAAAAATCAAACTTTAACAATCAGAAACTACTAATCTAAGAACAATAAACTCGGAAAGGTAATGAGCAAAATCAAAATTTTGCCGATGAAAGAAAAAGAATCTGTTTTTCTTTTTTTTTCTGATGAATACCCATCATCATATATCACACAAAACTAACAAAAGCATATCAAAAAAATTGAAAATTTTGAACAATACCCATCATTGGAAATCGCATGAAAAATCAAAGGTCAGTCTCAATATTTTTAAGCAAAAAAGAGAAAAAGAAAAAGAAAAAGCCCAGCTGAAAGATAGAGGACTTACAGATTGAAAAAGAGAGGATTATTATTTTCAAAATTGTAATTATTTTCCAAATGATTTTCAAATAATTCTTTTGGATAAGGATAGGTACATTGCGTCTGTAAGTCCTTTTTTAACAGCTATTAATTAGGAAATTATTAGGTTTTTTTTTCCTTTTCTAAAAACTAATAAATAACATAAAAAATAAAAATATATTATAAAATTTATATTTAATATACTGTCAAGATTTTATATCTCTCAAATAATCAAATATTATCATTTAGTTAATAAATAAATTTAAATATTAAAAAATTTTAAAATAAATATTTATAATTTAAAAAATATCTATTTTGAATAGTAATCTTCTATTAAATAATATCGTATAAGTATTATACTTAATAGTACATTAAATATAAATTTATATTATATTATATTAAAAATTTATAAATAATTTAAAATAATTTTTAATATTCTTTTAATTTTGAAACATATTTGATCATATTGTTGAGAAATAGTTAATAAAATATTCCTTTGAGAGTTGTTTTATAATTTCAAAATTAATTTTGAAGATAACACGATAAAAGAAAAACCTTCAATTCCATGTGTCCATAATATTCCCTTCAAATCCATTATGAAAAATCAGACATTTTCAATTTCCACATCAACTTTTAGCTTTTAATTGGCTTAATTTTACTATCATATTTTTAATTCTGAAGCGAATTTGGCCTGATTGTTGAAAAATATTTCAAAATAAATATTCATAATTTAAAAAAATATTTATTTTGAAATATTTTTAAATTTTTATCCATACAATTTAATTGAGTATTGTTTTGTTAAAGCGTATAAATATTCTATATCGATAGTACATCAAATGTACACTTATTTGCTCTATGGTTGGTTCAAATTTATCACTAATTTTTCAATTGACTTAATTTTATTACTGTACTTTTAATTTTGAAACAAAGTTTGATCATCTTGTTAAGAAATAGTTAATAAAACATTCAGTTGGAAGTTGTTTTATAATTTAATTTTTTTTTTGAAGAAAACGTGACAAAAGAAAAAACTCCAATTCCACATGTCCTCAAGCAATAATATTTCCTTCAAAACCATTACAAAAATAAAATAATTTCAATTTTTGCATAACCTCTTGCATTTTCATTATACCACGTCATTTTTTCTGAACCAAAAATCAGATAATGTAATTGAGCCAATTAAAAGATTAATAATAAATTTGAACTACCACAGATTACAACAATAAATTTAAACTTTATTTTCTAATATTATTTCCAATAATATATGTAATTTTAATTTAGTTGCTTCCTTGAACAAGTAACATTTTGGAGTAAATGAGATGGAATTTGAAGTTTCCTATTAGTATAAAGCTAAATTAAATAAAGTGGTAATAAAAAATAGTTACCTTAATATATAATTTGGCACATTCAAATCACCAAAGCAGATTGTTATTCCCAAGAGTGGCGGCAAATTAAATTTGATTACTAAGAGTATATTATTCACATTTGATTTGAATTAATTTAATAAATATATTTTTTTTATATTTAAAAAGATATGATATTAAATTTTTTTTTGAAATTAAAGAAAAAAATTATAACCCATTGCCAAGAATCAAGATTCGTCTCTGAGTTCATCACAAATAATGTTTTCTTAAAACCCCCTTCGTTGATCATAAATATATTTTATTTTTAAATTTATGAATTAAGGAGATGGTAACTTCTCATTTACCATCCAACTGAATCTTAGACGTATATAACAATTATAAAATTCTAATATATTCATTCTTCTCTTTTTATTGAATTTTTATTTAAATGAATAAAAAATATTTTTCTATTTATTTATTCACCATAATAATTGTGCAGAGTAGTAACTTTGTTTGACACAAGCATTTATTAAATGTATGAGTGCAAAACCTCTCTTGAAGATTATCTTGAAATTTCTATTTCTATATGTATGAGTGCTGAAATGAATATAAAAGCAATACAGAGAAAAAGGCAAACAGATGCTGCCAAGAAGAATAAATGTTGATTTATTAAAGAATCATCAAAGCAACAATAAATACTCATAAAAAACTCTTATACAACCACATATGCCAACACATACAGGCAATGAACAACAACAACCAAATTTTAAATAGAAAAGCATTTGTAAATATAAAATTAAAGGCATTTAGTTGAATTTAAACTTGTCCATTCATTTCCCCTCTTGCTAATACCCCAAGCAACACATCCTTATAAGCTCCCTTCACTCTCTCTTCTATCTTGTGGGCATATTTAGTAGTGACTTCCTTCAAATTTCCAGCTTCTTGGGTTGTAATCAATCGAGTCAATGCTTTTTTGGCATCTTCATTCGCATCAACTCTGAGAGCTGTATCAAAAACCTAAAAAAAAAAAAAAGATAATCAATTGAAAGATTTACTTGCTTGAATATTTAAATATATATTTATTTTTTACTTTTAACTTTTTCAAAGCAAAACAAATAACGAAAATATTGATCAAACAAAACCTTAATGATCTTACTTTGGTGAAATATGTATGAGGGGTGCATAGGCATTCTATTGTTTCTTTCAAGAACAACTCAGCTTCAAGATCCCAAACAAAGCAATAGAAGAGTCAAATGTTAGTGTTTTAGGCCAATTGTTTTATATTGCCAAGGGTTATGTATGTTATAGGTTACCTCAGTTATGCTTTTGCCACAAATTTTTTTGAATTGTTCATAGACTTCCTTAAGATGAGGCTTGCTCCTTGTTGTAAGAATCCTAATGACTTCCTCATCCTCGATTAATCTCCTCTTATCAGCATTCTTGATTGCATTCAAAAGTGCTTTGGCCTCAGATTTTGCAGTGTCCCCCTTCACCTTTGGTCCTTCATACCTATAAGCACTCACGAGTGCCACCAAGAGCTATTGAAACAACAAATAAAATAATCAAAAACCACTTCCCCAAAGAGGCTTAGATAATCCAAAGTGAAAGGCTTAGGTAATTAAATATGCTGCAAACCTTGCGCTCACTGCCCTTAATGTGGGCAGCAAGATCTTCCTCGATTGAGCGTTCAAAGAGGGAATGGTAAGCCTTTCTTGCTCCCAGCAGCTCCTCAGATGATCTGGTACATGCAATTTCTATTATAACACCATATTGCTGTGGCCCTTTCTTCAACGCCTTTTTCAACAAACGAGCATCCCTCTCCCACGGATGCATGAGGGAAAGCACCACAGCATTCTGAAAAAAATTAAAACAAAAGAGAAAAGAAAATTTCAAACTATATGCACTGTCCATGATTAACCGTAGGTATTTTTAATTTTTTTTTTCATAAACAAAAGAGTATTACAACTAGAATCTAAAATTGGTTTTATTGTTAATCTACAATGTCATTTTTTTAGACGTATTTATGTCAACAGAATCTTGTTACGATCAATTTTGGTCATACCTTTATTCTAGTCAAGGTTTTAAATTAATTTCTATGACAGTTAATAAAATAACCAAATTTGATAGAGAAAAAGAAAATATCATTTTGATAGACTTGGCATTCATCAGAACTTGTTAAATGAAGCAACATATGCTATGCTTAAAATATGATGAATGGTATGATGCATAAGCAGCCCTTATTATGTTAGTTGAGAAAAATTAAACAATGAAGACTTGATTAAAGTTCAAGGCTCAAATCCTCCTTTCCCCTTGAACCTTCTTTGAACACAAAATAAATAAATAAATAAATAAAATTAATTTGACTCTAGTACAATTTTATGAATGTAAAAGCCTGAGAAAGAGATGACAAAGGTATCGTAATTAAGTTGAATACACATAAATAAATCTAGCTAGCTAGAACTTTGAAGTGTGTATATATATACCTTAAAACGCTTGAATTCACCTTTGAGAGTCTTGATTGCATCATCATTCCACCTCTCAAATTGGCGTTCGTCCTCAAAGAACAACTGGGAACATCCTCTTCTGATGGATATCTTGTGCTCATGGTGTGATTTTGTCAATATTGATACCAATGATTTCTCATCAACTCCAATTCCTAAATGAATAAAGAAAAATTTTTTTAATTTTTTTTCCAAAGTAAAAACCAACCTACCACCTCCAATGATATGATTAATTGGTAATTATTTTGTCAACAAATAATGTAAGAAATCTTATAATTTTTACTCTTTTCAAAGCCATTATTGACATTTTGAAGCCCATAATGCCAAATGATAATAACATTAACTTTGACATTATAATTAATCAAGCTGAATGGAATAAAGGGACAAAAAGGATACTGAAGCTTTAAATTTGGTAGAAATGAGGGGAAAAGAGATTAAAAATAAATTCATAAATTTCAGTGACTATGTTTCACTATCATATGCCACCAAGAAAGAAATTTAATGATACCAAGGCATCAAAAGGTAAACAGCACCTAAGGAGTCCAGCTATATGATAGTATAAAATTAGTTTGGAGGAAGGAAAAGGAAGAACCTGACAAGGCTTTGCTGAGGACTTCCACTTCAGCTGGATGCCCCATTTTCTTAGCTTTGAAGCTATGCAGTGTGGAGAGATAGACTAGGAGTAGTGCAATAAGCAGAAAGGGTGCCATTCTTAGGCTGAGATGCCATGCATTTATATCAACCTAGGAGGTTGTTTTCGACATTCACTTGGTTAAGTGTAAGGGTATTTTGGGAAATGAATTTTAGGATAAGGGGAAACAAAGGAAAGAAAAGGTTTAGAAAGAGAGAAAAGACAAAGAAACAACAATAAAAAAAATTGGTAATAATAAATAACCTTAGATGCATGAATATTCGTCCTTGCTGTTCAATATGAAAGCAAACATTTAAAAATATAAAGCATGAAAAAGCAAGAAGTCAATATTCTTTTAATCAGATACGAAAATCTGAATATGACTCTTTAAACATATAATTACATGTATCTATCATTAAATTAGATGTTTCGATTCATTTTATTATAAATTTAGCTTATACATTGCAATGTATTTATTTAATAGATAGCATGTCTTATCAGTGTTATTTTATAATATGAATTTTTAAGTTTAATTTGCATCATTTTGATTAATTTTCCATTATTCTTATAGTGGAAAATTATGAAAATGAAACATCTAGATCACATTAATTGCTCCCTAACTAGTAAAATCTCCTACCATATTGAAAGTTTAATGGAACAACTATAAGATTACTACTACAACATATTCACATTAGGATTATAGTTGATATGTTCACATTCATATGTTTCCATTGATTTCGTAAGTCAAGCTTGATCTAGCAATGTTCATGATATATATATATATATATACAAGAAAAAAAATAATTAATTGACCTTCATAAAAGTTAGATAGAATGACCCTCATTGATTATTTCTTTTTTTAATGAGTCACGTTTAGCATGCTTCCCAAGTTTGTGAAATTAATTGATTTATTTATTCTTGCTTTCCTTGTAATAAAAATGTCATCCAACTTTCTAGGGTATGAATTGACTATTAGGTATTGAAATAGCCACTCACATGAAGCTTAGGTGCCCAATTGATATGAGTTATTGATGATATAGACAGCTATGCATAATCTCATAGAAATTATTTCATAAATTCAAATAACTTATTAAATGCGATTTTTTACAAATCAATATGAGTTATTATGGCTGTTGATCTCAAAAATCTTATTTGTTTTTATCCATCATCGTGTAATAAGGATTTAAAATATACAAAATAAATTCTACTTATATTTTTTTGTGATTTCAACTTTTCTTGTAAGACACTTTGTGATTTTTTTCTTCAATTAATACCCTATAAATAATTTTATTCCCATAAAAATTACACCGCTAATGAAAACAACTATGAATATTTTCGTTATGAATTATTTCATATATATTCAAAAATCTTATTAAAGGCTATTTCTAGCAAAACAATTTGAGTTATTATGACTGTTGACCTAAAAAGTTTTACTTTTATTATCCACCGGCATTGGGTAAGGGCATATATAATAATAGTAATAATAATAAATTTCACCTACATCTCTTTTCATTTCAACTTTTTGCATGTGACATTCTATGATTTTTTTTTTCCAATTAATATCCTATGAATTAGTTCTGTTCTCATAGGAATTACACCTTAATTTTACTCAATAAAATTATAAATTAAATTATCATTAAGTGTGAACAAATAAACTAACTTTTAAACCATACTGTTCTCATTTTCTGAAATAATAAATATCCTACACTAATTTGTGCTAATGTGATCCATGTGACACATGACATGTCATGATATCTTTAAATTCTTGGTGATAAATTTGTTATTTAGTGTTCCTTTTTTTTTTCAATTTTGTAAAGCATGTGTGTGCAATTATATATATATATAAAGAAATAAAAAGAGAAAAGTAGTTGCATGTGCATGCCTCTACCTTGCGTTTGTTCTTAAACTGTAATAAATAGTTTTCTCTCTTCATTTTTTAAATGAAGGAAAGTCAGCTAGTGTAGAAGATATGAAGAATCTTTAAATCATATCTATCAAACCTAGTCCATAATAATCATTAATTAGTTGTTGAATGATAATTAACATGAAAATTAATAATGATAAAGGTATTTTTAGTGGAACAAAAAAGAGAAATAAAGGATTTGTTCTTTATTTTAGTGGTTGAAGATGGACTCCAACAAAAAAAAAAGATGCATACACAACTAAAGCACTCACATTTATCATTACTTTCATTATTATTTGTTTACCTTTTAGGTATTATATATGAATATTAGGGTTATGAAAAACAAACCAAGCAAAAGGGAAGAAAATAACAAAAAAAAACAATATCATATTTGTTTTAAAATTAACAAATAACTAAAATGTAACACCAAATAAAATATAATTAGTTTATGTAAAAGTAAAATCATGCATTTTATTATCTAAAAGTTATATATTTTGTGCACAATTGTTCAAAAATTTTGTTTACTTCTGTATTCAAACATAATTTTTACTGTTTTACTTCTGAATGCAAAAAGTTAATAACAGAAGACACAGTAGCTTAAAAAACACTTGAACTATTCACAAAAATTTTAATAAACTCTTATCTTTTTATTATATTAGATCAAAGTTTTTATCTTTTTATTTTAAATTAAATAAGCTCTTATGATTAAAGTTTGATTAATTGTCGTCAATCAAAATGTTACTTATCTTTTTTATACCACATAGTATTATATATCATAGTAAATGGTCACGTTACATACTTAACTATGTGACATGATGACCTAGTCACGTGATATTTTCATACTCTACGTCAACGCCACGTGAACAAAAAATAATAAATGATATTTCGATTAATGACAGTTAATCAACTATTAATTATAAAAATCTGTTTGATTTAAATTAAAAATATAAAGACTTCATCAAACATAATAGAAAAGGTAAAAACTTATTTAAATTTTTTAAATAATTTAAGAATTTTTTTAAGAATCGTACCTAATAAGAATGTGAACTAATTTGAAACCTTATTATTGCAAACAAGAAAAAAAAAAAGAAAACCCATTAATTAGTCATTATGGACTACGCCCACATGAATTAAGGCCCAATAAACATGAGGCTCAAGACCAACGCCATAAGAAAATGGATGTTAAGGTTTTTCTTTCCTTTAATTTGAAAAAGGAAAAATTACACATTTGAGAACAATTAATTCCTTGTATCAGTTCACTCCAACAGCTGTCACCATTAAGTTATTTATTCTTATGGGAACCATTAAGTTAATTATTTGTTTAGCTGAATGTCACATGTAAAATATTAATTATTGAATACTAGTTTGAATTTCTATGGTGGAGGACACGTTGCAACCCTTCATTGTTGAGTGAAAAAAATTTTAGTTATTTAAATTTTTATGACATTATTTTTTTATTTAAAAAAATTCAAAACCTTGAAAAAAAGCAAGAAAAATTTTGAATAATTTGAAATTGAAACCATAGTTTCATATTTTAGAATAAATTTAAATTCAAATCATTTTGGGATAACGTCGATTAATCAGGTCTTGATCATTTGAAGTTCTAATCCTGAATTTCATGTTGGGTTTTAGATTATGTGACTTTAGAACATAAGTGATAATATTTTATTTTTGGATGTTAAAATCTTTTATTCATCCAAAAGAGCAAGAAAAAACATGGTACAATTAATATCTTTATTTGCTACTTTAAACCCTTACCTAACCTTATGATATACTTAGCCACTAAATTATATATAAAAAAATTTTCATTTTCATTTTGACTAAATGCCATTACAGGGTGCATGGCTGATTGTTCTTGAGAATAACGTACAAAGTCACCATAACTGATTCTATGCTTACCTTCCCAAAACTGGTGCACCCCTCCTGTTTAAAATGAAACGAAAATTTGTCCATGAATCTTCCTGGCTCAGTTTGCTGCTTTCTTCCTCCTTTACATTGATTGGCAGAGCAGAATCTAAAACCTGAAGACATGGGTGCAAAATCCAAGGATAATAACCAAAGGCTTAGAAGAGATTCCAAGGAAATGATTCAATCAATAATGATCCACCAATAGGTAGCTTACTTATATTCATTTGGCAATGATTAAGTACTTGAAATGTATGCAGGGTGAATATTTCTATTTATACTTTTCAAGTTTATTGTCAGAGTTTTTCTTCTCCTCATCCTTCCTATCTGACTCACTTCTCTTAGTACTATTACTACCTAGTTTAAGATTTTTGGTCTTAGCCGCCAATGCATTATCTGTATAGTCTTCTTCTTTAAAAGCCTTTCTCTGTTCTTCAGCTTCTAAAGCATTGATGAGCTCACTTAGAGTAGGTCTAGCAATATCTTTTGACTCTTGTAGGGAGGAAATCTTGCCATCAAATCTCTCTGACAATTGACTAATACCTTGTTAACAATGCGTTTTTCAATTAACTCTTCCCTTAAAAGTCTAAGCTGATTTACTGGCTTCATGAGTTTTCCAGAAAACCCTTGAACATTCTTTTCTTCTTTCATCCTCGACATCTTAAATTTCCTTTGAAGATTCAAGGCTTGCATCTACCTTGTTCTCTTACTCCCTTAAAATTCATGTCTCAACAAATCCCACACCTCCTTAAGATTATTAGGATACATAATTCTAGCACATACAGTTTCTAAAACCCTTGAATGTAAAGAGGACAATGCTTTATACCTTTTGGCAACTTTGTCAGAGTGCTGCTTGATTTGAGCTATAGTTGGATTCACATACCTCATTGCTAATGGTTCTCTTCCTGTTTCAACCACATCTCATAGATCAAAAGCTTTGAGGTATGCCTTCATTTTGATTGCCTAGTACTAATAGTTCTCCCCTGTGAATGGTGGAGGAGTTAGTGTGTTAAAACCAGCCGATGCCATGAGAAAATGATAAAAAGGTACACAGTAATCAAGTAAGAAAGTTTAAAAATAACAAGTCAGTCCCTTAAGATCTTTAGGACGGGTCTGATACCATTTTGAACATTTGATAAAAAATTGAAAATATGAAGAACAAGGATGAAAGAAAGCCAGAGAGAATAATCGAAAGAGAGGAAAGAGAAAATTTTGGATCAGCACAAAACGATGTGCACATACTCAATTCATTTACTCAGTAACCAACTTTATATATATGATGGAAGAAAGATAAAAAGAAATGAAAAGGAACTAGCTCGCTAAGCAACCACTTGGCATTCCAACTTTTTAGATGCTTTGGGTATGGTGAGATATTTCCTACCACCAGTCATTTCTCAACTACTCAAACGGTACAATTTTGAAAGAAATACAATGAACTAAGGCCCGAATCCTAACATTTGGGAAAGGTAAATCACCACAATAGATAGACAAAGAGAAAGTAAAAATTAAGCAAGCTAAATACACTAAACGACATGGGTAAAAAAACAAAATGGCAGCTAAAGTCTTATTCTATTTGAACTTGTCAAGATTCATCACTTTTGTTACTACAAAATAGAACACCAGATTTCAACAAAAACCTGTAACTCAAGAGTTGGATGGGTTTGGAACTTGTGCTTTAGAACCTCTATTATATTTTGGATTGCTAGGATTGTATTTAGTCCACAAGAGCAACCTAAGTTTGCAATCCTTAGTGGCTCTGAAGCTGCTAATGAAAGTTTTTGGATGTTAAGTTTCATGGCGATTTCTTCATTGATGATAGCTTTGGCAGCCTCAATAATTCCTCACTACAAGATGATAGGGCATCCATACTTAAATATATTAGGCTAAATGCTCCTTAAGTATTACCTTGTACGTTATTAAAGCATCTACCCAATTGCATGTAGTTTCATTATAGTATTAATGAAGTTACAGGTGGTAATTGAAACGATGGCTGTTAGACCTCAGAAGTCTTAAGTGGGCGTATTATTGCATAGAGAAATGTAGTTGGAAGTACATATGTGTCACTATTATTTCTCTTTTGTGTATATAGAGATTTATTGGATATTGAGTTATCAAAGATTAGAGGTGATAAAATTTGACTCAACTTGAAAAATCCAACATAAGCTATCATAAATTATTTCAAATTTAGTTTATTAACCTCAACAAGAAATTATTCAGACAAAGGTCTATCTCATACCTATAATTCACAGATGACACCATCATCTTTATGAAGTCATTCCTTTGGAATGAGTATTCCTTCTTCTAAAAACAAACCAAATGGAAGGAGAAAAATTTTTAAGAAATAAAGGAGGAATGGCTACCAAACATGCCATTAATGCTTAATTCGTTGCCTTGTTATTACCTCTCCATCTTTTAGGCCCCTAAAGGCATCATCCAAAAGTTGGAGAAGCTTCAACAAGCTTTCTTATAGGGTGGAGGCATCGATTCTACCTTCCGTTAATGTTGTTGCCATCGTTGACTATTGTCTATGCTTGTATGGTGTTGTCATAACAGTTGTCTAATGTATGCACAGGGACTTTTGCAATCTGCTACTGTGAATGAACATGGTATTTTTAAACAATTTATGTAAGCTCATTTTGATGTAATATGGAGCTGTGACTATTGTGCTTGTCTCAGCATTGCCCCTGTTTCGATCAAAGGGACCCTTTTGTAAACTTTCATGCTTATTAATGAAAGTACCATGATTGGTTGAGAAAAAAAATAGCTGAAATAACATTCACATGTCATCAATAGAATATCTAATTCACTGACAATTACTTTTCTTTTTTGCATAATTGAAACGCTCTTAAACTATTTAAAAAAATTCAAATAAATCTTCATTTTTCTATTACATTCAATCAGGTCTCTGTATTTTTATTTTGAATTAAATAAGTTTTTATAATTAGTAGTTGACTAATTCCTATTAGAATATTACTTGTGATTTTATGTTCACATGACGCTCACATAGCATTAACATAGAGTGTGAAAATGTCACATGACCATGTTATTGTATCACATCAGTATCCAATATGAAATGTCGATATGTCACATCATCATGCGATATGAAATGTCAGCAAACAACATCATCATTGCATGGTATAGAATGACAAGTGATATTTTGACTAACAATAATTAGTCAACCATTAATCATAAGCACTTATGTGACTTAAAATAAAAGAACAAAGATTTGATTAAATGTAATAAAAGAATAAGAATTTATATGGATTTTCTTGAATAATTCAAAGTTTATGCTTTTTTTTTTCAAATCTTCCTTCCAAGCTATAAAAGGTTCTCTCTCTTGCCAACTATTGCAATATTTTCTTTTTGTTTCTTTTGACTATGATAAAAATATGATTGTATAGAAATGTCTATCGAAAGTATCAGATTAAAATCAATACAAAACCAAAGATAACTGAACTAGAAAGAAAAAATACAGATATGAGAGAACTCAAATTCATTTTCATTTTCTTATCAACCAATTAGGAATACATGGTAAAATGGTACCATCGTTCATGTTATTAATAACAATGTAACTGCTAATAATTAAATAGTAACTTTCTTCCCTTATTAGAAAGAAAAGAAAATGAGATAAGTATGTTCCGTATTAATTTACATCATATAGGCTTGAGAAGGAGGAAGATTGCAGTTGTTTTCTGGTATTCTGGGTTCAAGAAAATAGATGACTCTGAAAGTTTCCTTGAGTATATCTCGAAGAGTTGATCAATGATTTCATTTCCGAAGTGATTCTTAATGAGTGGTTCCAAGATGGCTCTAATGTACAGCATTCGCTGTCTTAGGTCTGGCATGACTATGTGCTGCTTTGTGATGTTCAATTCCTCCATCCTTTCAATGCTGAAACATCCATTTCCCTCTATAATTCGCCGCAATTCTTTTGGGTATGTGAAGTAAATAGGCAAGTTGAAAGTATCAACCTTCGCCTCACTTACTATTCCCTGCATCATAGCCATTTGCCTAATGAGCAAGCTAAGTTCATTCCACAAGTTCTTCTTGTTAGACTTGAGCTAATTTATCTTACTATTTTAATATCTAATTTTCTAAATTTTATGTCATTTGGTTCGACAATATTCAATTTGAAAGGGAGGGAGTAATTGATTAGAATAATTGATAAATAGAAATTACTGAAAAAAAAAAAGAAAGAAAGAAAGGAAGTTACCAATTTTGCCATGTCCATGAGGCAAGAACCCACAAGTTCAAATTCTGATCCTACTGTAATTTGAGGGTCGGTGATCACATCTGGAACAGCGGGTATTAGAAGAGCCATTAACCCGCCAGGCGCAAGCTCTTTCACTCTTGCCTGTAAAAATGAGTCAATGTCCTTGGCGTATTGATCCGAATAAGCTTCTAACACTTCCTTTGGTGCACCTGTGTAATGAATCCTACCCTGATTCCAGGCAGGATCAGTTTTGTCTACGACCCTTTCTGGCACCTTCGAGAGCCAATTGAGTGCATATGATGAGTAAACAAAATGCAGGGTAGCCGTGGGAAAGAAAAGAAACAACGGAGGAAAAAAAGAGGTAGAAAGAGAAAGAAAAAGATGATAGAAAGAGGCCGTGTGCAATGCACGGGCCATAGTCTAATACTTGTCATAACGTGCGGGTCCGAGAATCCGACCGCTAAACGCAAGAGAAAAACACTAGAAGTCGCTACTAATCTTTTTCCTAAATATGCTTAGCCACCTATTAACTCGATTTTAATCAACAAGATCTTAAATTTATTTTAAGTTCGTCGATAGAATTTTAAACTGGCTTATGATTTTTATGACTGGATTCAAAAATACGATTATACTCGAGGAAAGATTAGCACCCCGGTAACGTTTGCTCCACGAACGGTACCATTTGATTATAGATTATCCTATTAAAGCTTTAGTTCCTAAATTTATTGTGTTTTCTTAGTTATTATGCATTTATTTTATCCTCTATTTTTTTGAAATATTTTATTTGGCTTTATGGGTGAACATGATGCATGCATGATACAACATTAGAATAATATCGAACGAATAACCTTTTATTGAGAACATTTCCCGAATCCGGCCATTAAACTAGTGGGATCCAGAAATCTTCTTTCACCTAAGAAATTATCCTAGAAATTTACCTTATCAAATTTGACGAATAAATCTCATCATCGAGGATTATTTTACATGTCTTAAAAAAAATTATGTTTTCGTGAATGTTACCATATTACGAGAAATAATCTTTTTATTAAAGATATTTCTCGACCCTTTTCATCGTACTGATAGAACCCGAAAACATCCTTTCACTTAGAAAACTTTCCTAAAGAAACTCACCTTCGCAAGATCTTTCAAAAAAATCCCATCATCGAGACTTATACTTGTATACTTAAGTATCTATGTGGCATGACATTTATGATGCAATAATGATGTATGCTACGCTTATAAAATTCATTATTTTATATCCAAATCTTCCTATATTTTCTTTGTTATTTTTCTAAGGTTTTCCTCTTTTATTGTCCTCTTTAATTATATATTTCTATATTATTTAGGTCTATACTTTTTCTTATGATATAAAAATTTTATTCAAGCTTTATTGTCCTTTAAACAAGATGTTTCATTTCATAATCATATATGTTTTGATCTAATGTTTCCCCTTTTTATTATTTATCCTATCCCATTTTATAACACCTACAAATTTATTATGTATTTTTTATATAACCTAATGTATTTATTATTATGAATTTCCATCATTGAAATATTTTACATATATATTTATTTAATTATTGTTATGAGTATTATTTTATAATTTTATATTTATCTTTTGACAACTTAAACAAGTATATGCTATTTATTCTTTTATGCTTATTATATTTATATTTAGACTAATTTATTATATAATAATTTTTGTTTATTTAAAATTAAAAATCTTGGAATTCTATAATTGAGACCCTCCTATCGTATTAGTGGAGTCTTAATTTAGATCCCGAGCTTAGGAAAAATTCATCCAAGATATAATCTAAATAAATTATTTCATATTATCGTATACTTTATTATTTCTTAAAATAATAAATATTGTATACTTTATTTCGCTTCTTCTTTATTCTATTTTAGATAAAATATCTTATGTTTCTATTGTTAGTTAATGATTACCTATATATAATTTTTTTTAACCAATTTAAGGTATTACTTGAATTAGAATATTAAGATTTAAAATTAAAAACCCTCCCATATAAGAAAATTAACTTGAGTTTGCAACTTCTCACGTTCCGAGCATATATTCTATTACCTATATAACCCATATAATACACATATTTTTTATATTATCATATATATATTTTACATTAACTTATTATTCATTTGCTTTATTAAGTTACATACCTAGTATTTTTTCATGTAGTTATAGTTTTTACCCATATACTATCTCCTGTAACTAAATAGTTCA